CTATACAAATCCAGTGGTTACCGTATGCATTTAATCATAGAACTAGATTAACCCTTTTGCATCGAATAAAATATATCGAACAAAGCTTTAAGTATAGAGTTGAACTTACTCGAAGTTGTATGGTAGCCATATAGTAGAGCGTTGTTGTAGATTTTTGAAAGCCAGAGCAATGTATGCCGCAACCTTAAGGGACTCTTCCTTTAGTTTCGCCGTACGGATGCGCTCTTTCTCCCGAAGAGTCTTTGCAGCAGCTAGCTCTTTGGCATCTAGTGTCCACTGTTTAGGGTAATTAAAATTTGTTTAGGCTATAGCTTGAGGGTCTAAATACCCGGCTTTCACACTTGGTATTTGTTTGACAATGTGCACTTGCATTCTACAAATCACGGCGTGGGTTAGTTACAATAAAATTCAAAGATTACATTCATATCATATCGGGAGGACAAGGACTTACAGGCACCACGTGCGAATTAGATTTATCTCCATTTCTCCCAGGTGAAAGCATGTGTGCATGTCATTGAAGTCAAAGACAATTTTTCCGGCTGGGCTTCCAAATGTGCCAGTGGGGAAGCATGCTTGTATGAGATCTATGCTCGTTGGGAGAATATGCAAGTACCAATCATGAAACCTTCTCATTCCAAGTGGTAGGCGCTGGATGTCCCGGTTTGGTAAGAAGGGCTTGCCTCTTTCATATATTTTGGGCAATCCTTTGACCATTTGATGGCATCAACATTTGGATACTGCTTTACAATTTGATGGAGTTTGCTAGTTACGGCCTCCTCAGAACCCCGTGATGGGACTTTTTTAACTTGGTTCTCAGGCTTGAACTGGTCATAGGAATACCACTTAGACACCGATGAGACGTCTTTCATCGGAACATAAACTAGCCTTATGTTGATTGGAATCTTCTTTCGAAGTTCCCATTCAGGCACGTCCTCGTCTTCTTGTGCATCACCTTCTTTAGGAGGCACTTGTTGTTTATGTATCGGCTGTGCTTGTTGAGAAGACCGTGGCATCTCATCATACACTTGCTCGGTACGAGCTGGAGAAGGTTGTGGCATCTCATCAGGCACATGCTCGCTAGGAGGCGGGGAAGAATGTGGCATCTCAGGAATGTGGTGGTCACGAGACGGTGAAAATATCTCTCCAACCTCAACAACTCGTTCCAAATTTGGGAGAGGGGGAGACAGCGAAGAAGCAGTCAATATAATATCCCGTTTGTGACAGAGGATGAACTACCCCATAACATCTCTGAGTAACACCAGCCCCTCGGGAGTTGTGTAATCTATCCTCCACTGCATGAACTCGGGCTTCACTGTATGCACCTCGACCCTAGTGTAGTCCGACGGTATCTTATTATTGTGGTGTAAGCCACCGGGAGGATGTGCCACACCCGTTGCCACCTCCATCATAGTGTTCTGCCGGCCGTTGAGAAACACCAAGGTGCAACTAGTTGGTTCCTGTATGCGATCGACGGGGGTTGTGGCTACAGTGGAATCTTGGCTGTTAGGAACTTTTGGAGGGCTGCCAACTAATGCCAGTTCTCCTGGCAGCGTCACTAATATCCGTGGCTCTGTAGACAGTCCTTGCTCCTTCAGCGCCTTCGCAACTAGAGGCTTCACTTGGAGCTCAAGACTAGTCTCACGGTCTCTGCCATGTTTCTTGTACATGTGTCTGTCCTCTTTGAATCCTTGCTTCCAGGTCATCCTTTTCCCTAGCCCCCTGGTGCGGCCTGTGTGCTCCTTGTTTCCCAAGCCAAGGCTAAGCTCGTCCCTCTCTCTAGAAGGATTGAATGAGCCTTTCTCCTTGTCTTCAACATATTTCAGTATCCTTGATACTGCCTCTTGGGTCTTCGGCTTATCAAACTTAAGATTACCGCCGGATGTTTCTGTACTCCTCGCATATATCCAATTCCTTGAGCGTACCTTCAAATTCGTCACATCGATATTCCCAGCAGCTGCGGCCTCTTCGTCCATCTTCCTAAACTGCTCTTCCTTGGTATAGTAGCCACTAGGGCCTAGATGATGGTGGTGTTTGTTCCTCTTTGCCAGCTCGGTGTTACGGGCACTAAGCTCCAATGCCTCCGGTGAAGTCTTCTAAGCCACGAGCTCCTCCCATTGACTAGGAGTTATTTTGCCGAACTCGTTGAAGGGAATTAACCCCTTTTGGATATGCTTTGTGTTGAGCTCCGATCTCCAACGTCGGGATGACTCTCCCATCATCCTGAAAGCATTTTTTTACCAATTCATGCTTACCCTCTGGAAATCTAAAATTGAGCTTCAGCTGTCTATCCCATAGTTCATTCTTTTTGTTCTCTGGTACCTCTTTCCAGTTTGAGATTGCTGGGTTCAATTTATCTCTTACTAGGGCCCCGATCGTATTACGAAATCGTCCTCTTAATTCCTTCGGCTCAAGGATCTCCCCTACTGACCCAACCTCCGTTATCACATAGCATGCCTTATCTAGATATAGATTTCTTTTTCTATCCTCTCATTTTCTCTTAGGCTTGGTAGTCATGGTTGTGTCTTGAGGTTGTGGAGCAGAGGCATCGTGATCCATCTCTGTGGCTGTTGCCTCTGCTCTCCTTTCCTCTACTCCGTCTTGTCCAGCGAGATGTCGCAGACGTCGACGTCGTCTTTTCCGAGTTTCAGGAGGGACCTGTATATACGACAGGTCAAAGTGTTAGCAGAGGTAACATAGCCAAAGCTTTAGCAAAATTTACAAGCTAAGGCTTTTTCCCTACCTCCTCGTTCGGGTCAAAATCCTTGTCCAAATCTTCCTCCGTTGGCCTCCTTTTGGCTTCACGTGGGAAAGGATACTCGGGACTTACATATCCCTCTTCTGAGTCATCATCATCATCATCCTCTTCTTCTTCGCCTTCAGCAGCCTCTCCTGCTCTTCCTTCTGCTCCTCATTCCTCCTCCACACTGCTCCTGAGTAAGCATCACTTCTAGATCCTTTTTTAACTTGTTATCGAACTGCTCCTGAGTTAGCTGGTCCTCTAGTGCTTGCTCCTTATAGGTTGGCTGCTCATCATGCTCGGGGCATCGGGCTACACTGTCTGATGTCCACGACATTATTTCACGCTTTGTTCTAATAGATGCAAGAAAGTGTGCTTTAGGTACGTGAGAAGGTATAAGAAATCAAAAAGGTTTATAAACCAAAGTAGTCCTATAAAACAACAATATATAAAAAAACGAGAAGTAGCAGTAGTAGAGGCCTCAAAAACATGTCAATCATTATCTGATCTTGAGCTTGGAGCATCGAGGCATCATAACAGAGAAGAAAGGAGAAGGTAATATAGGGGCGGCTGCTAATGATGCCAAGTTCCTCACAAGTTCTTGATCATCAGCTCATATTCTATATAATATATGGACTTAGACAATTTCATCATCGGCAAAACAAAGGAAAGAAGAGGAGAGGGGAGATTTGGCAAAAAAAAGCAACAACTGCTTAACAAACATAGAGAGGAAAATGTGTAAAAATAAGCAGCTGCTGCTTCCCAAACATAGAGGATAGGAAAAATAGCCAAAAAATAGTTGACTGCTGCCACATGGTTGGAAGACCCCTGCAGATCAAAATCTGGTAACTTAGATGTGGTAAATAATGGATTAGAGTAGAGGAGGAGTAACCGTAGATAGAACACACCGTGATAGAAGTGAGCCACTTAGTACCAGACACTTAGTAGTATAGGGAAGTGAGTAGAGTAGCTGCCAGCAGCTAGGGAAGAGAGTAGAGTGACAGCCAGCTAGTAGTAGTAGGAGTAGCTAGCAGTAACAAGTAGAGTAGTAGTAGTTCAGTAGAGTAGTCTAGGAGAGTAGCTAGCAGCCAGCTAGTAGTAGGAGTAGCTAGTAGTAGCAAGTAGAGTAGTAGTAGTTCAGTAGAGTAGTATAGGAGAGTAGCTAGCAGCTAGCAGCAGTAGTAGTTTCTAAGAGTATAGGGAAGAGGGCAGAGCAGCAGCCAACACTAGAGTAGTATAGAGTAGTAGTAGTATAGAAGTAGCAGCGAGCAGTGTAGTTAAGAGCAGCAGCCAATGTGTTCTAGAAAATAAAGCCATTAATAAGAACAATGTGATAGAATACAAGCATCAGTAGTACCATGTTGACAACGTGATAGGAAATAAAGCCAATTTGTTGACAGTTTAAATAAGCAATGGAGGAAATAGGATTTATTAACTTGCAAGAAGACTCACTGTGCATATATAAAACAGTAGGCATATATAAGCATATATTAAAACAGTTGGCATATATAAAACAGTCTATTTTCAAGAGTTCAAGAGCCATCTAAGTTTCATGCTGGAATTAATAATACAGCAAGCAAGCAACTTCTTAGTAATAAAGCTCGAGCATAGAAATTCTTAATAATACAGCAGCAAGCAACTTCTCTCTTAATAATATAGCAACATGCAATTTTTATTTTGATCACAATGGCAGGGCCTGAGCAATATTTTCTAAGTAAGCAGCAGGCTAATCAGTTCACCAGACTAAGCAGCTGTCAACAACTGCAAACAAAGGTTAGGCGGCTTGTGTAACAAATGCAAGTGCATATATGGGTCCGTTCAGATGAACTTGCTGTGGCTGTGCTGCACCAATACTTACTCCTAAATATCATGTATCCTAGAAGTTACATGGAAATGGAAAGCAACATCAAGCTCATAAGACCTAATAACATGTCATATCTAAAAACAAGCTGACGACTGCATTGCTCACTATTTCATTGTCATATCTAAACAAGCTCAAGCAACAATGCACATATCTAAAAGTAGTGGGCATTTCTAAAAACAGTGAGCCTTCTTGCAAGTTGCACTAACTGACAGTTTAAATGAGCAATGGAGACCACAAAGATGAAAAATTTGACAACAGTCCCCATGTTAAAGGTTTCAATTTCAAGGATCCACGAATAATGGATGGGAAGTGGATTCATGAGCCTAACAGAGATATGATAAGAGATTTTTTTCCGTCTCCTAGCCATCCGCCACACATGCATTGCGGAAATAGACCAAAATGAGAAGGTTTCATACTAATCCATTTATATTCTGGTACAGAAAGTATGAAAAATTGAATGCTGCCAAAGCATCTGTAAGTGCTGATAGAGATGAAAAAATTGAGCAGGCTGCTGGTAGCATTGAACGGGACTTGATTCTTCTTGGTGCTACCGTAGTTGAAGATAAGCTCCAGCAAGGGGTATGCAGAACAGCAGGGGAGACCCCCACTGCAGAGATTTTTATTAAAAGAGGCAAAAAAAAAAAACTGCACAAACCAGTCTGGCAAGATGCCAAACAGCGGAAGCAGACCTAGAAAGGCCAAAAATTTCCAGTTGCCACATACCCGAACAGAATAATGTACTTGTTAGCTAATTGTTTTTGACTAGTTCCAAGCCTGTGCCTTTGAACCAGAAGCTAAGCATGGTGTAAAATCCATTGTCACTGAATGACTGAAAGCCTGAAAAATGGTGTTGCGCTACTAATTCCTAACAAATGAACCAATTTGCACTGGCATGAGAATTTAGTAGCAAAATCTGAAGAGTAGCTCACCAGGAGAAGCGTCCAATCAGATCAGCCACCTGGGGGAAGTACTGGCCGAGATGCACCAGGGTGAGGCCGGAGAGCTCGGGCACCGTGGCAGCTAGCTGCGGGAGGGAGCACGGACGCCGGCTAGATCTGCATGATTAACTAAAGATGAGTAGAAGTACTAAAATGAAATCTATCAATCGATTTCATTGGTAAATAGAAACTTTCATATATATATATATATATATATATATATATAGCTTCTCAGCATTGAAATAACAGATTGCACCTTACTCGAGAACTAAAATTGAAAAGAACTAAAATTCCCTGCATTTTTTTTTGACAAGGTCAAACTGGGTAGCTGTTACATACACTACATTATGGGAACATTGATGGGATCCAACGAATATCAGCCGGGACCATTATATTGTGTGTTTGGACTTTTGGATATATACACCACGTCTAACGTCTTTTTTTAATCATCCTTTCTGCAGTGTTATTCCCGGGCGGTATTGTGGCAGCTGCACGTGCATGAATACCGCCAAAACCCAACAGACCGACGACTATGCATGGTAAAAGACCGGCCAAGTGGTGTTTTTTTCACCCTCTCCTCGAGGATCTATATATGCATGTAAAGCTAAAACGATGGTCCCCAAATTGAAACAAAATCGCATCGGTTTGCTTATATATATAATAAGTATAAATTAAATTGTAAAGGATGACAAGTTTTTTTTGAGGGGTAAAGGATGACAAGTTGACAACAGAGAGATGAGCCATGCATGTTTGAACCAAGAAATAAAACATGTAATAAACTGACCCGTGTTTTCCGCCCAGCATTACACTCACTATATAGGGTTATTTTGACCGGTACCATTATAATTTTCAAAATTTTGAGAACTACCATTACTATTCACCTATTTTGAGATGAGCCATTACAATTCTTCAGCACTCTGAAATATACCATTATATACGTTCAGGGAGACCTTGGGCCCAGCTGCAGGTGTACATGATGTCATCATATTTTTGAATGGACAAGACTACCCCTCCACCTTCATCTCTATATGTCACTGACGTGTGGACCCCACCGATCATCACCTTCCTCCTTCCCTGTCTTCTTCCCCTAACTCCTGTGCTAGGCTGTCAGGCTGCGGAGGCGCCGCCACCCACCCCACGCGACAATGAGAAAACCGTTCTTCCCCTTGCTCACGCATTCCGCATTGAAGCGGACGCCGTCGTCGTCGGTCGATTCACCCTTGTGCGCTTCACTAGGATCCCCGCCGCCTATTTAAGGAAGGTCTCAAGTGCGCTTACGCCTCTTGGAACCCTAGGGCAGCCAAGAATCCAACCGCTAGCCCTAGCGCCCACCACCGCTAGCCCTAGCGCCGCCATACCGCCATAGTCGCACCCCCGAGGCTCGGCGCCCGCCGCCGATCTCACGCCACGGCCGCGCCCTCGATTGACTATAGAAGGTTCACGAGCTTCGCAGCGACCTGACGAACCCGCCAGTATCGATCTCTCCCTCCGTCTCTCTCTCATCAGGCGCGACGTGCTCGCGCCAAAATATCGCCGCCAGTCCGGTCCGCCAAGGCCGTGTCTCATCGCCGGCTCCGCCATTCCCCACCACGGGAGGTACCCACGAAGTTCGCAGACCCACGAGCTCGCTCTCGTGCCGACCATGAGTTCTAGTGCCCCACAAAGCCACCCCCGGCAGTTTCGCCGCATTGTGCTACCCCATGAGCGAGAGCTACCGGAGAAGAGGAGCGAGGCCTTGAGGTCCCCGGCGGCGAGCGGCAGCGCCCCACGGATGGGCAGGTGGCGGAGCCCGGCCTCGACCCGCGCGGTTCCTGCGCGCCCGCGAGGTAGGCGGCCGCGGCGTGTCGTCTTCGTCCGAGTCGGGCTCGTCCGCCTCCAGGATGGAATCGACGGCGGCGGCAGGTGGAGGAGGCAAGAGGTCGGACGTGAGCGAGTGGTGGTTGTCGAAGCCGGAGAAGATGCAGATCATGTCGGCGACGGCGTTTATGGAGCTAGCGAGCGAGTTGACGATGTGCTACGTCGTCGTGATCCCCTTCTCCTGTCCGTTCTACGGCGGCGGCGCCGCCATCCTCGGCTGTTGCGAGCTACGGGGACGAGGCTGGCAACGAGCGGTGCGGCTAACGCAGGGTTCGGCGTGGGCGCTTGGTCGATATGCTGCAGAGGGAAGAAGACGGGGAAGGAGGAAGAAGATGACAGACGGGACCCACGCGGCAGTCATATGGACGAAGAGGACAGAGGGGTACTCTTGTCAATATGAAAATACATTGGTCTGCATATGGGCCCAACAGCATCCAAAGCGTATATAATGGTATATTTCAGAGTCCTGAAGAATTGTAATGGCTCATCTCAAAATAGGTGAATAGTAATGGTAGTTCTCAAAATTTCAAAAATTGTAATGGTACCGATCAAAATAACCCCACTATATAATACTATATATGCTGTTTTAATTTAGAATCATGAGATGATGCATTACAAAATGCATGAGTCATATAGGCATCACATATATAAAAATCTAGATCTCAGTATCGAGAAAAAGCCCACTGGTATCTCCATTACATGTATATAACATAAAAGCTTCAGAGGGGACAGTAACGCAAGCAATTTGCTCTTTCCAACGAAGAAAGCTTCAATCTTGCGACTTCTATCTTGACAATTCGGCTAGCAAGGTTGCTCAAGTGAATGCAAAATCTCTAAGCTCTATATATCATGGAAGAGGCACGAGTAATTGCAGGAACCACCACCATTCATCCATATATATATATATATATAGCAGATCGAAACAGGGCCACCGTTATATCCCTTCCATAGTCAAGTTCCCAAATCTCTTCAATGATGCCAAAGTTTTGAATCTTTCGCCCCAATCCATCGAGAGCCTCTATTCGAACGCCACTATTTTGGTTCACATATGTAACACCTCGGGTGTTAGCCTTGCATAACTTGACTTGCATAACATGAGCATGAGCATCAAGCATTCATAAACCATCATTTACAATTGAAACATTTGATCGAAACATATGAAACATTGCTTGTTACCTCGTGTTTCTTGGAACATAGGCATATGATCATGTGCAAATGAATGCAAGTGGGTAGTGCTAGTCACTAAAACACCTTAGCTACACTTAGGTTAACAAAAGGAACCTTGTTCATGAAGGCCACATTTCATGATCAAGCACTTAAGTGATATTTCATGTGTTGACCTGAATAGCTATATGAGTGACTACTACATGAAATGCTTAAATGACCTTGCAAATTGTTTAAACATGCTTAGGATATCATTAGGAACAACTTTGGTATTTAGTGCTAAGGCTAGTTTGGTCATTTAGCCATGGTTTGTGTATGTATCATGTTTTCAAAGTGACATGTTTGACTAAAGTTGAACTAGGTGTTAGAGACCTTGCATGGAGGAGTTCACTAAAGCAATGTTGTAGTGTTTGACATAAGGAACAACTTTGATTTTTGGGCCTTTGACTGATTCAGCTCCTAACCTGCTTGAATTTGGATTTCAAAAATCATCGAATCACTGTTTTCAACACTTAAGCAATTTTTCTAAGTCTAGGTTCATTGACCGACTGACAAGCCGAACTTGATCATGATTTTACTCCCTTTCTGTTGAGAATTGGAGCATGATCCTTGAACGAAAGTTGAAGCTGGTACATAGGGCTAGGATTTTTGTTAAGACGGTTTACGAGTTGGAGCCACGGTTTAGCAGTTAAATCGATTGGAAAACACGCTTTGTCGACATCGCTACCGCTTCGTCTGAATCAATCAATCGCGAATGTACAAAGGCCGACCGGCCTGAGAACATTGCCGCCACGTGTCCCGGCGCGACGAGCCGCGCCGCCAAAGACACTCTGTCTGCATGTGAAAGCCACGACACGCCTGGGCGCGGCCTTAACCCCGTCAGCGTCCGCCCGACCCCTGCCGCGCTCCATTTTTGCTTCGCCTCGGCCTCCTTCTTCGCCCGCAAGCAGCCACCGCAGCGCCGAGCACCCATCGTCGCCATTACCGGCACCGGCTCGCTCCACCTCGCCATTCGCCACCGCAGCCACTCCACTGACATCACCGAGTCTCACCGCACCCGCTTTGTGCTCACCAACAGCGCCCGGTAAGCCACCGTGCCGCTGTCGACCTCACCGGAGCATCCCGCGAGAGCCTCGTCATCAGGGTGGGAGCGCGCCACCGCCCACCTCTCCAGCGTTAGCTAGCGCGTTGAGTTTGTCTTAGGAAGTATACGCCGTCCGAGCTTGACCTTGCGCCACCGTAGCCCACATCGGCGTTTTTGCCGTGGTCCAGCCCCGCCGTTTTCGCCATGGCGCGCCGCCGTCGACTCTAGGGTCGACAATAGGACCGGCCAAGTGGCTCGATGAGGTTCGCCAGTCACGTAGGTCATACCATGATGACCTCACCACCGCGTGGCTTCGCCCGTCGACGAGCCGCAGCAGCCAGCGAGGCTCAGCAGCTGCCCTGCTGCTGCTTCGTCCCCCGACGCGGGGGTCCCCGACCAGCTGGTCCCACCACATGACACAAAGAAGTGTTGAAGGCTAACTCATTTTGAATCCAGTTTTTGATTTATTTTGTGAATTTTGTATCTTCAGTTTGGTAGCTCCTAAATTTGTGAAATAAATATGGTTGTGTTCCTTAGGAAATGTAGTATTTAAGAAAAATATGTTCTTGGGTTCAACAGTAGAAAATTCTGGAGATTTAAATAGGGATTTGAAATGTGCTTTTGAATGCATTCAAATTTGTTTATTTTATATCTAGAGTTCCTGTGCTCTAAAAATTATGAAATTTTTGTGGTGAACTAATCTTAGCATGTGTGAACTCTGGTAAAAATTTGAGGACCAGTGCATGGGTAGATTTAAAGTTATAGATTTTTCTTTTATGACTAGTT